AAATCTCTAGAAAAAAGGAAATACGTTGAAACAATTCCCTTGATCGGTTTCACAGGAGTGCTTACAACTGTTAAAACAATAAAGCTGTGTTAAAACAACAGCTTGCATCCACTGCATATCCACTATGTAAACCCCCAAAAGACAGCCCTTACCCATGTGTAAATGATCAAATAGATAAATATTAGGGTTCAATAAACTAGTGAATCTGTTTCAACTTCATTTAACAGACGTGAACACGACTTCTGGCATACAAAGAATTTTAATTTGCATTGTTTACAGTGTTCACCGCATCTGCCTTGTCACAGCTGAATTATTTGTTAGATTGTCTATATGAAAAAGTTCATCTGACAGCATGAGCAATGTTTTCGCTATCTCGTCCCCCTCAACACAGGAACCACACAGCTGCTAGTCGCCATAAATGACTCACTGTGGGCTTCATGATTAGGAGAAATTTAGACGCCAGACTCTGGAAATTCCTGGAGGAGATGTTTGTCAGGAAGCAGCTTTTGTTCAAAGGCCTTTCTATGTCTGTAAGATTAATAACTACACATAACAGAAGAATTGTTCTGATGCTGTCATACTGCTGTCATGTTGTTTTTAGACTTGATATTAAAGATTTGATAGATTCATAGGGGTCCTTAATAGTTCACATTTTATGCTAAATAACTTTTTTTCAGTGCCAATATCAACACAAAGCAGCTTTCTGGTTGGTATTCAGCAGAATAACTTTTCAAGTGCTTTCAATAAGCCTGTGACAAAAGCGTAATGGACTCCTGCGAACTGTCAGCATCTAGTGAATTTGGGTTTTGAGTCACACTGAGTAGTCTGTTTTCTTCAACACCCACATGTCCCTCTAGGGAAGCTGCTGGCAGTGTGCCCTACGGTGCCAGAAATCAGGCTTGGCTTTATGAGAATGACTCATGAGACTCAAGTTAGCTTACAGCCCTCCATAAATCCAGCAGCCACCAGCGATGTATAAGCTTTGCACCGAGACCAGCCAGAAAAACAGGCCTCTAGGCCAAAGTGATTATAGAGTATGAGTATTTAAAATGTGATTAATCAATTGTTCCACCCTGATTTCTAATTGGACCTAAGTGAGCTTTTACATATGAAAACCACATGTGGTGAGTATTACACACAGGCCTACTTGTTTGCATGATGCTAGTATAATTCTATTTGTTCTGGCCTAATTTAAACATGTTAATTTTAGATATCTGGTTTGAAGATGCATCAAAATAATGAATGATCAATAATCAACTGTGGGTCCTCTGAACATTTGTTAAGAAATAATGCGGGTTTTTCAAGATTTAATTTTAAATATTTTCCAAATGATGTTTAACAGAGGGCGAGGCAGTGGCACAGTAGGTAGTGCTGTTGCCTCACAGCAAGAAGGTTGCTGGTTCATACCTTGGCTCAGTTGGCATTTCTGTGTGGAGTTTGCATGTTCTCCCTGCCTTCGTGTGGGTTTCCTCTGGGTGCTCCATTTTCCCCCCACAGTCCAAAGACATGTGGAACAGGTGAACTGGGTAGGCTAAATTGTCCGTAGTGAATGTGTGTGTGAATGTTTCCCAGAGATGGGTTGCGGCTTGAAGGGCATCCGCTCGTAAAAACTTGCTGGATAAGTTGGCGGTTCATTCTGCTGTGGCGACCCCGGATTAATAAAGGGACTAAGTCGACAAGAAAATTAATGTTTAACAGAGCAAGGAAATTTTCACAGTATGTCCGATAATATTTTTTCTTCTGGAGAAAGTCTTATTTGTTTTATTTCGGCTAGAATAAAAGCAGTTTTTAATTTATTTAACCATTTTAGGGACAAAGTTATTAGCCCCTTTAAGCTATATTTTTTTCGATAATCTACAGAACAAACCACTGTTATACAATAACTTGCCTAATTCCCCTGACCTGCCTAGTTAACTTAATTAACCTAGTTAAGCCTTTAAATGTCACTTTAAGCTGTACAGAAGTGTCTTGAAAAATATCTAGTCAAATATTATTTACAGTCATCATGGCAAAAATAATAAATCAGTTATTAGACATGAGTACTTAAAATTATTAAAGTATGTTTAGAAATGTGCTGAAAAAAATCTTCTCTCCATTAAACAGAAATTGGGGAAAAAATAAACAAGCGGTCTAATAATTTAAGGGGGCTAATAATTCTGATTTCAACTGTATATTTATATATATTCTTTCATTCATTTTCTTGTCGGCTTAGTCCCTTTATTAATCCGGGGTCGCCACAGCAGAATGAACCGCCAACTTATCCAGCAAGTTTTTTTTACGCAGCGGATGCCCTTCCAGTCGCAACCCATCTCTGGGAAACATCCACATTCACACACACACACACACACTCATACACTACGGACAATTTAGCCTACCCAATTCACCTGTACCACATGTCTTTGGACTGTGGGGGAAACCGGAGCACCCGGAGGAAACCCACGCGAAGGCAGGGAGAACATGCAAACTCTACACAGAAACGCCAACTGAGCCGAGGTTCGAACCGGCGACCCAGCAACCTTCTTGCTGTGAGGCGACAGCACTACCTACACTGCCTCGCCCTCTATATATATAAATAAATGAATATATATATATATATATATATATATATATATATATATATATATATTATTATTATTATTATTATTAAAATGACCTTTATTATTAATAATCTTGGGGGACCCCTGATAAATAAGGGACTTAGGGACCGAAGGAAAACGAATGAATAAACATTAATATCAATATTAAAATTGTTGTTGTTATTAAAGAAAAAAATCAAAGGGGGCTAATAATTCAACTGTATTTGTCTGTATCTAATATTATTATTAAATTGATAGTATCTCATATTTTGAAATTTAGACTAAATAAGATTTCTTATATACCTTTTTAGACACATTTAACTCTCAATTTTCTCTAACATTTCCAGTCATTCTAATTTAAAAGCCTACCTGAACAATTTGATTTAATATTTCATTTATTCAATTAAATTCATCTTTTTTTCTATAGCACTTTTACAATGTAGATTGCGTCGAAGCCGCTTAACATAGAAGTTCTAGTAATGTCCAGATTTAGAGTTGAAGTTCAGTTTAGTTTAGTTCAGTGTGGTATAAACTTTACTGTTGAAAGTTTTAACACTAAAGCGAGCAAATTCGTGCATGCACAGCTCCACAACTCCCAAACCAAGCAAGCCAGTGGAGAGAGTGGTAAGGGAAAAAACTTCACCAATTGATGAAGTAAAGGAAAAAAACCTAGAGAGAAACTAGGCTTTGTTGGGCATGACCATCATTCCTCTAGCCAAACTTCCTGTGTGGAGCTGCAGTCTGAGCGTGGGAGGCTGGAGAATGCTGAACGTCTATCGTGGAGAACTGCAGGTGTGAGTAGGTCACCAGCGGGTAATCGGGCTGGCCCACTGGATCTTACGAAGACTTGTCTGTCACTGTTATCTTTCAGGAATCAGTCTTCATAGTGTGTATTAACGAGCTGCAAAAATGGAGTGTTATAAATGAGAATAGTAGTTATATAAAAAAACATGAAAACAAACATGTTAAGCATACAGTATGGGTGCTTATAACAAGATGTCTAGTGCATGGCGAAGCAGTGGTACAGTAGGTATTGCTGTCGCCTCACAGCAAGAAGGTCGCTGGTTCAATCCTCGGCTCAGTTGGCGTTTCTGTGAAAAGTTTGAATGTTCTCTCTGCGTTCGTGTGGGTTTCCTATATGTGCTCTGGTTTCCTCCACAGTCCAAAGACATGTGGTACAGGTGATTTGGTGAATTGTTAAGCTAAATTGTCTGTAGTGTATGAGTGTTTGTGGATGTTTCCCAGAGATGGGTTGTGGCTTGAAGGGCATCTGCTGCGTAAAAACGTGCTAGATAAGTTGGTGGTTCATTCTGCTGTGGCGACCCCAGATAAATAAAGGGACTAAGCTGACAAGAAAATGAATGTGTAGAGCATTAAAACAAGAGGAGTGTGTCCTACAGGTGGTTGTCACACACTCATGCATCATACCATTATGCGATGCATTGTGTGTATCCTTTACTAAACAGATAGGTCTTTAATCTAGTTTTGAACTAAGAGAGTGTGTCTGAGCCTCGGACATCATCAGGAAGGCTATTTCAGAGTTTAGTAGCGAAATGAGAAGGCTCAATCTCCTCCAGAAGCTTTGAGCTCTTATAGAATGGGTTGGATTGTAGCGAGATTGCTTAGATAAACAGGAGCTAGATTATTAAAAGCTTTATCGGTTAGAAGCAATATTTTATAATCAATGCTGAACTGATAAGGAACAGACAGCCAGTGTAATGGACAATAAAATTGGGGTGATATCATATTTTCTAGGCCTGGTAAGAACTCTGGCAGCTGCATTTTGCAATAACTGAAGTTGCATTTAATACAAATTTAAGTTTCCAGTATTTCTAATCTATGTAATGGTTCATTATTTTGACTTATTTAAGCTTTGGTTCCCTCTAATAATTCGCATTATTATTAATAAACGCATGTAATGAAATATCTAATCTAATCAATATAATGTTTTGGCTATTTATCTTTCTAAAGTTCACTTGCAAACGTTTATATGTAATACAAGCGCACTTTCACCATAAAACATTTTACTTATGTTCTCTCTACCCCCTTTCAAAAAAAAAGAATAATTTTAAAGAATGTCTATGGTGTGCAAATACTTCTTGCTGTGTTTGCAATTCTGCTTTTCTTTATTTTCCAGCTCTCATTGCTTACACTCATTCCCCGGTGCATTAACAACATGTTTTACGGTAATGTCCATCTTGGGGACGCTTGAAATATGCCTGAGTGAAATGCGCATCACGCATTATATTATTTTTTATTATCTCATATTTTTCCACTTCGCTAAAATACATTAATATAATCCAAGTCGTTAAATATAGCTTTAGCCCATTAATAAAGGATAAATTAAGAAAAACGGAAAAGAGAGGTCCATCAAACGGATGACGTGTTACAGCGGGTCCCTGGGTCTTCCGGGTCAGTGTAAACAGTGTGCGGATCTCTCATACAAACCTGTAAAATGTAAGTAAAGACGTTTATCTTGTAACAGCACATTATTTTTTTTGTTATGTAATGTCTATAATCTGTTAATAAACTCTCTGTATGCATCAGGTCGAAAGTAACGTTTAAAATCACGCTGACGTCGGACCCGCGGTTACCATATAAAGTGTGAGTGACACATCATTCAACATATTACACATCATCAATATTACCATTCCCCATTTATTTGTTTCATTCGCCTTGATTTGATTTATTCATAAATCTTTTTAATAAACGCGTGATCTATTAAATAACAATGACCCAACTGATTAATTAAATATACATGAACGATATTATTGTTTTTAGCACAGTGTAAGCTCAGGAATGAGTCACTCCATGGTAAAATATGTTTTTATGTATAGAACCATATATTTCCCCATGTTAACTTATCACAGTGCATCAAGAGAACTGTTTGTGTTACAGGTTAGTTAAGTGTGCACACATTTTAATATAACTTCATAAAACTCAGGTCAATATTCTTGTTTCATTTTGTTAATGCATTGAAGGCTGTATTGTATATATATTCTTTACTGACATTTGCATTACAGTATAATTCAGAACATGCATTCAGCAAGTAAATATGTCGCCATATGTTGGAGAATAAAGTGTTATATTATTAAATGTTAAAGGAACAAACCCCTCTTTGTAAATAACACCTTGAAAAAAAAATAGTGTGCATAAAAGTATTTAGCATTTACTAAGCAGCGAGATTTCCCCCTTAATCTGCGAGAATGAAGACCATTCTCAGTAAGCAGACAGTGGACACCCCCGACAATGTCACGCTGTCCCTCAAGGGCCGCACAGTTACCATTTAGGGACCCAGTACTGTTCTCTACCAGTAGTTCAACCACATTAACCTGGAACTCAGTCTGTTGGGCAAGAAACAGAAAAAAAGCTGCGTGTGGATATGTGGTGGGGTAAAACAAAAGAGTTGGCCACAGTCCGCACCATCTGCAGTCATGTCCAAAACATGATCAAGGGGGTCAACCTGGGCTTTCAAATTACTATCTGTATATGACCATTTTCCCATAAATGTGGTCATCCAAGAGTCTGGCTCACTGATGGAGATCAGAAACTTCTTGGGAGAGAAGTGCATCCACCATGTCCGCATGAGGCAAGAAGTTGCGTGTGCAGTTGCTGCCGCTCAAAAAGATGAGCTGGTTTTGGAGGATAATGACATGTAGCTGGTATCAAAATCAACTGCTCTGATCTAGCAGGCCACCACTGTGAGAAAGAAAGACATCTGGAAGTTCCTGGATGGGATTTATGTCAGCGAGAAGGGCACAGTGGTGGAACAGCAAGAGGACTAAATTAGTCTCTGTAAAATCTGTCAATAAAGACAATTCCATTTTTCAGTAAAATAAAAAAAAATTACTCTGTAGTAAAATTAACCGTTATAATGTAACAAGGAATTGGAAGTAATTAATTTTTAAAAAGGGATGTTTTTTAAACTCCTCTTTAATTCATACTTGGACATAATATAATATAATATAATATAATTTAATATAATATAATATGAAAATCAATCTTTTGTTTACTTTACAGCAATATTTAAATTTTCTGCTTTATGAATGAACATAAATTTTAAAAAGAAAGCTTTTTCTTTTTCATGAACATAATGTGATTCTTATTTGGCATAAAATTAAAGTTAGCAGTCAAACAGCGCATTTCAAACAATACAATTATACATCCCTGATGAACATTTCCAAAATTTCTCATATTTGAAGTGAATGCTGCAAAATAATGTCTTAAATAATGGTTCTCTTAAATAATTTAATCAAATAAAACATACAATATATGGTCAGTGAGGCAGTTCGTCAATAATTATGTGGAATCTTCATGTTTGTGCTGCTGAACTGAATTTCTGCCTAAAAAATAAAAATTATTTTCCCATTTTGAGAACAGGGTTCCTGCGGGGTCTTAAATTTCAAAAACAAGCTTTTAGGCCCTAAAAAGTCTTAAATTCACTGACATATTGTGCTGTAGATCTTAAATCATTTTAAACAGGTCTTAATTTTCATCTGTCCAAGTAAAGCTACCCAATCGAAATGACATCCATCAACAATTCATCTCAATGAAACTTTTATTTTTAATAAATATATATTTTTTATTGCAAAAGATCCAATTTACAAGCTGTTTGACTTTTTTTACAGCAATTTCTCTTAATTAAATTCTCAATTTGGACCAAAATTCAACAAATGCATATTTTTAATTATTTATGTCACTGTCTAAACAAATTAACTTTCAACAATGTAAAACTTATAGTTTAAAAAAAGTGTATACAACAAAAGTTTTCCTGTTTTGACACTAAATATTGCACTAAGAAATAATTACATTATTTATTCATTTATTTATTTATTTTTGTGGCAACCAACCGGGCCATTATAAAAAAAAAAAATTACTAATGTTTAGTCCTGTAAATGTCTAAAATTTATGTTGTAATGGGCTTAAAAGGGTCTTAAAAAGTCTTACATTTGAATTTAAGAAACCTGCAGAAACTCTGGAGAAAACAACCTTTATAAAGATGTGCGCTGTGACTCAAATCTACAGATGCAAATAGATCAAATATAATAAAAGAATCGCTTAAATGTTTGTTCTTTCCACTAATCCTAAAAGATGACATTTTATGGAAGCAAAGCAGTGAGAAATCTTCAAATTGGTCAGTGCATGAAGCAGAAGGTCATTTCTTCCCTTGTGACAGTTGCTCTTAGTCTGTTTACAGTATTGATCGCAATCACTGCTGTGGTCTGTAATAATCTATAGATGTCATACTGTGTCTGACGGGTCGGCAGATGCACATGCTAAGTGGGTGAGATTGCTCTGTCAAGGGCCATTCAAACAGACTGATTTACCAACTTGGCTCTAAACACCCGCATTGTTGATATACAGTTGAGGTCAGAATTATTAGCTCCCCTTTGAATTTTTTTCTTTTTTAAATATTTCCCAAATTATGTTTAACAGAGCAAGGGAATTTTCACAGTATGTCTGAAAATATTTTTTCTTGTTGGGAAAGTCCTATTTGTTTTATTTCGACTAGAATAAAAGCAGTTTTACATTTTTTTTTATTAACCATTTTAAGGTAAAAATTATTAGCCCCTTTAAGCAATTTTTTTTTTTTACTGTCTACAGAACAAACCACCGTTGTACAATAACTTGCCTAATTACCCTAACCTGCCTAGTTAACCTAATTAACCTAGTTAAGCCTATTAATGTTACTTTAAGCTTTATAGAACCGTCTTGAAATATATCTAGTCAAATATTATTTACTGTCATCATGGCAAAGATAAATTAAGTCGGTTATTAGAAATGAGTTACTAAAACTATTATGTTTAGAAATGTGTTGAAAAAATTTGCTCTTTGTTAAACAGAAATTGGGGAAAAAATAAACAGGGGGGCTAATCATTTAGGGGGGCTAATAATTCTAATTTCAATACACACCAGCCAGTTTGGATGTTTTTTACAGTTCAGGTGACTAATTATATAAATGTAATTCATTAGACCATTTAAGAGATCAACTGGTTAAATATAGCAGAAGATCATTTGAAAAAACATCAAATTTATTTTTAATGCTCGGATTTGGAAGTGAGCTAGTATTTAGGGTGGCACCATATTGACATGGCATTGTGCACATCTGAAATAGTCACATCACAGGATATCCAAAGTCAAGAAGAGATTATTCAAAATCAAAATGATTATCATAGGTGACCAAGCTCCATACTTTGAAATCAGTGTAATTTTACATTAATTGCACAGTTTTTCCATCGTTAACATTACAGTTTAAAATTTGCAAGTGTTTAAAGGGATAGTTCAACCAAATATTAGAATTTACTTTGAGGTTTTGTTTTAGGTTTTGTAATATGTTGATCTTATTGTGTTTCAGATTAAGTGTTCCTGAGAGCACACCATTCACAGCGGTTTTGAAATTTGCAGCAGAAGAGGTGAGTTGATGGCATAAACATGTTATTAGCTGATATTTTGTTACTTATTTAAACAATAATAAAAATATCTGCATGATAGTAATCTTCAAGGATGATTGTCTTATTTCTCTTTACTTCTTGAAAGTCATTGATTAAAAATATTTATATTACGTACATGGATTATAAACTTTTGCTCAGTTTTATCCTATTGATTAAATAAGGCTTTTCTGGTAATGATTTATCCTCTTTCTAGCATAAATCAGACTTATCTCGGTGTCCACAGCCTTTCTTGTTAAAATCAGAACAGGATCAATGCAGAATCTAATATTTCATGCTAGTGGAAAAGTCATTAGAATTATAGATAATGTAATTCCAATAACCAATATCGCAGCTGGTACCTGTACTATAAAATTTTAATAAAAAAGAAAGGAAGGAAAAATGCAGTTCACAGTAGATGTTCAATATTAAATTGTATCAAATACAGAATTCATTATTATGTTATAATTCATTATTAAGTGATATAATGAGTTATTTATGATTACATTTAATTATAATTGTTAATAGCAGTAGTATTTAAATTATTAAAAAGAAACTATCATGAGAATTATCAGCATTTTAATATTATATATATATATATATATATATATATATATATATATATTAGGGATGTGCGGAGCAGCCGGTATTTGTATTTGTATTTGTATTTGTTGAGGGGGAAAAGTATTTGTATTTGTATTTGTATTTGTATTTGTATTCGAGTAAAATTCAAAATGGCGCAAAAATATATATTTTTTCTATTACACTTCTAATTTACGTTATAGTGAAAGTATTGTTTAATTATACCCATTATATAAATTATAGACATGCAACATTAGTTGTTGTTTTTGAACATGTGACAAGAAATGTCATTGAAAAGAAAATAACATAGAAGCCATTATCTCATCCATGGTTAAACCAACAACTAATAAAATACCATTGTGAATATTATGAACCCCACCACCACCGTTCTTGTTGAAGGACACTGAATAGACAGAATAAAAACAAATAATACTTCAAAAAACTGTTCTTCTTCTGAAAGAACTTCTTTCCATTGGACAGAATTCCAAAAACTAAAATTAACTAAATAAATCTAAATAAAACCCCTGCCTGGGGGATCTGGCAGAACAAAAGTATTCTATATAATACTAAAAGATACAGTCCTGCTATTGTCATCTGCCTGCCACAAAAAAGACACAAAGTTTTTTTTTTTTTTAACTTTTTTATGTTTGAAACTGACCTGCTGGGGCAGAATGTGGCTGTGTTGATGGTTTGGTGCTTGTGGAGGATTTAGTAGAACATAGCTGTGCTGATTGAGGGGATTGATGCTTTTGGGGGGTTCATAGACAGTATCAGGAGAGGATGCTTTTAGTGCATGTGATAATACATTACATAGAAGGTTGCGCGGTGGCACAGTGAGTAGCACTGTCGCCTGACAGCAAGAAGGTTGCTGGTTCGAGCCTCGACTGGGTTCTCCCCATGTTGGCGTGGGTTTCCTCCGGGTGCTCCGGTTTCCCCCACAGTCCAAACACATGCAATATAGGTGAATTGGGTAAGCTAAATTGTCCCTATTGTATGTGTGTGAAAGGTGTATGGATGTTTCCCAGTGCTGGGTAGCAGCTGGAAGGGCAGCCACTGCGTAAAACATATGCTGGATAAATTGGTGGTTCATTCCACCGTGGCAACCCCAGATTGATAAAGGGATTAAGCCGAAAAGAAAATGAATGATTATGGATAGAAGATGTTGACAGATGTTTAATATCTCTGCCTCTGCTGATTTCACTTTTGCACACATTATACAGTATCAGTTTGTTTTATCTGCAGCTCCACTGACTGTAAAATGCTTCCACAAAGAACATCAAGTTTTATTTTTTTGACTGGTGGAGGACCAAGAAATGGCTCAGCAGCAGTCTCACTCTTTTTCATGGTGCCCAAATGTATTTGAGGAGTTAAGTGACGGGAAGCTATGCTGAGGTTAACTAGCCTATAGCGTATATCTTGCTGTCTGCAAAAGAGTTATTTAGACGTACCATATAACTCCCATAAGTGCATACTATTCGACACAACGGCAAAAGCATCGTTTTAACCTTTATAAACGAACGTTAACGTTACTCTGTCAACAGTCTATTGTCTAAATTACCGCGCTAACAGAGCTAACGTTGCGTAAACAGAGCACCCGATTGCAAACTTCAAAAATGCAGCGTAATGGAAAATCCCGAACAAACTCCGCTACAAGTTTATAAACTGCATCTGGAACCCAATTAAGGTACAAAATAGTGATGCAGAAAAGTATTTTATTCGCTCAGTCGAGCCTTCTCTGTCTGCTGCTGTGGAGAAGCTTGTGCCAGAGAGAGACCTTTTACCTCCGCCCCGCCCTCCGACTGAGCGTCTCTCTCTCTCTCTCTCTCTCTCTCTCTCTCTCTCTCTCTCTCTCTCTCTCTCTCTCTCTCTCTCTCTCGCTCGCTCTCTCTCTCACTCACGCACTGTGGTCTCAGGAGGAAACGCTGCTTTTTTTGCTCCCGAATACAAATAATTTTTCAAGTATTTGTTCGAAATAAGTATTCGTAAAAACACGCTATTCGTGCCTTTCCGAATACCGTATTCGGGTTCGGCTCCACCCTTAATATATATATATATATATATATATATATATATATATATATATATATATATATATATATATATATATATATATATATATATATATATATATATATATATATATATATATATATAAGAATATTTATATTTTACCAAGGAAAATTCCACAGTATTTCCTATATTATTTGTTTCTTCTGGGGAAAGTCTTCTTTATTTTGGTTGTGAGGCTGGAATAAAAGCAGTTTCTAAAAAAAAAAAAAACTTAACAATTTTAAGTTGAATATAATAACCCTCTTAAGAAATATACCCATGTTTGATTGTCTACAGAACAAACCGCTGTTATTCAATAACTTGCCTAGTTAACCTAACTAACCTAGTTAAGCATTTATATTGCACTTTAAGCTAAAAACTAGTATTTTGCAAAATAGGTAAAAAAAAAAATTACATACTGTCATCATGCCGAAGTCAAAAGGAATTAGTTATTAGAGATTTGTTCTTTTAAAAGTATTATAATTAAAATGTGTTGACAAAAAAAAAATCTTCTTTCTGTTAAGAAATACTTGAAAAATATGAAAATTTCACAGGAGGGCTAATAATTTTGTCTTCAGCTGTATATTACCCTATAGCCATAAATTAAACTATTAGGCATAAGTCTATCAGAAATGGCTTCAAGTCTGACAGAAGCTTCTTAATTTACTGTGGACTGTCTGGTCTGAATTAACGGCTGTATTCAAGGCACGCAGACCCAATGGCCGGATGACGTTGCAGATTATCTTGGGTCGTCGCTCCTTTTTTGACATAATGAAATGGCAACTCTGACAACCTCATAATAGGAAGTTGTGATGCATCAAGTGGAAGCCAGAACAAATGATGAAGTGCCTTTTTAAAAAGGCACAGGCTTATTTTCACTTTTTTTTTTTTTGGCCTCTCAAAAATCCTTTTTTGTATTCCTGCTTCAGATGATTATAGTTATGTGATCATTCAGAGATTTTTTCCTCTTGACAAGAACAGATAGAAAAAGTAGCCTACGGAGAATTAGAAACACAAAATCATCCACTTGTTTTTTTTCTGCCCAGTAATTCTGCATTTTTCTTCACGTCAGTTTTATGCTGTTCAATAGTGTAATAGAAGTGCCTTCAGGAAACCCAGAGAGTTTCAAAGCCCATTCTGAATGTATTTGGCCATTTTTTTATATAAACTTTTCTGTAGCTCTTTGTGACAGTTTCTTCCAAAGCTCAGCCCAGGGATGTCTTTTCTCAAACGTTTGAAGGTTTTTGTTCGACTCTTTAAATCACCTAACGCAAACACAGAGTCGAGCTGAGGTTTTTCTTATCCCTGCCTGACAGAACAACTGTGCGGTGCTGTTTATGGCTTGTGTCTGGCTGTCAGCATATGTTGTTGATTGATGAATAATAAAACTTTTCTTTTTTCTTTGATTTAAGTTTAAAGTGCCTGCAGCTACCAGTGCCATCATTACAAATGGTAAGTTGTTTTTATATGATGATAATGATAATGGTTATTATTATCATTGTCATTAGTATTAAGAGAAGTAGTAGTAGTAGGCAGTGGCAGCCTGTATTTGATTAAACCTTTAAGCGTGGTTCTCAAACACTTGTCCCCACTTGTCCCGTGCATATAATATATATATATATATATATATATATATATATATATATATATATATATATAGGCAATAATTTTAGTAAAATTTGCGATTCTTGGCATTTTCTTTTAAACATTAACACTAAAAAATAACGTTTTAACCATTGCATTGTGTTGAACAAAATAGATGATATTTTTAAAAAGCTTCGACTGTTGAAAAAACAAGTACTATAGAAGTCAATAGTTATGTTTAAAAAAACTACATTTTTTGTTTAACTAAAAAAACTCATAAAGGTTTGAAACAAGTGCAGGGTGGGTAATTAGTTAAAGCATTTTCATTATGTTCATTAACTGTCCCTTTAAATAATAAAGTGTGCTGTTACTTTTAGTGGCCAGACTTACAAATACAGGGAACAAAAAACTAAATGAAAGGCCCAAAACCACTGGACACCCTAATTTTTTTTTTTTTGTGGCTGTATTAAAAATAGTGCAACTAAACTAGACAATGTAACAAAACCACTAACTCCCACACGGTAATTTTTCTTTTTGCTGCCGTAAATCTTTTAGTTCAATCCAATAAACTTTGCTAGTCATATTCCCTTATTGTAAACTTTGTATAACTAATGAAAATTAGTTGAAATGTCATAATTTTTTTTAAAAACAAAGTAAAAGTAACAAAAACATTTGTCATCATTACTTTTTATCATATAATTTCTTACAGTGCATGATCTGGCCAATTTAATGAACTCCGTTAAATCTGTACCCACATCAACCATTTAGTGTAATTATACATATTTAATAGGAGACTTTAGAGCACTTTAATACTTCATGTTGAGTAATTATTGAAGAAAGGATAACCACTACGAACGCATTACTCATATCTCACAACACAGGACAGTTATTGTAAATGAGTTGTCCTGTATTGTGGTTGTTCAGCATTTCAGCACGCCAGTGTTTCTGTGCTCTTGCCCATCTGTCTTATTCATTGATTGTCTTTAAGAATGATTGCTTTATGTGTGTTTTCATATTTCTATGATGATGATGCTGATGTGATCATTATTTTTGTAGATGGCATTGGAATCAATCCGGCGCAGACAGCAGGTTGGTGTCACTACTTTACTCAACAGCATCTGGCTGTGATAAATGTCTTTTTTCCAGCTATAAAGTTTTTGGATATATCAGAATATCACACGAGGGTGAAAAAAGTGATGTCGTTTTTTTTTTTTTTTTTTCATTTTGCATGTTCAGATGAATGCCTGTTTGTTTGAATCCACCTTTAATGCATTATCTGTGCATTGTGAAATATGATCCCTCATCTCGCACTCACTGTTTACTTGCACGCTTCAGATTTTCCAGGCTATCCTTAGTTCATAATCATCCGCATGCAAATGAATGGATCCTTCTGTTTACCGCCTCATATTGTTCATGATTATCCGCCTAGGGACCTTTTGTGAGATCGAATGATTTCCTGAGACTCCTTCAATAGGCTGCGCATGTAAATCTCACATATTGCCTAATGAATATTGATGATGCGCTTCAATTATACGATTCCCCATTGTTGTGAGTGTATTCCCCTGACTAAATGTTTCTTTACCGATGTTTTCCATCCTGCTTTACTTGTCATTTAAGACTGTAATCCATTACACGCTGTCTTAATAAGCAGTCCCAGTAGTGTTATGTATGTGTTTTCTTGCCTGAGTGCTGTGCTGCATGTAATCACAGAAAAAAATGACCTGTAATTTTTCAGACATGTCAGAGGTTGAGCACTAAATGTCAAATTTGCTGTAATTCATTAGTTTTACAGTAGCAACATGTCTATCCTGACCCAAGTACACTCTCAGAAAAAAAAAAGCTACAAAAACCCATCACTGGGGTGCTACATTTTCAGATAGTACACTTGCTGATACACTACTCTCAGTTAGTACCTTACAAATGCATACTGTTACCTTAAAAGTACATTTGTATACTATTAGGGCACACACAGTGGTGGAAAGAGTACTGAAAAATCATACTTGAGTAAAAGTACCATTACTTGCCTAAAAATTTAGTGCAAGTAAATTAGAAGTATCTGTTGTAAATATTACTCAAAATATGAGTAAAACGTAGCCCTTTCAAGAGTAGTGAGTAGTATGCTGTAAAAAAGGGATACATTTACATGTAATTTGTCCAATAACAACGTCAAATGGCTTTGATATTTGGTTGATTTTAGGTTGTGTTGGAAAGTGACCCAAAATACAACGTTGAGCCAACGTCATTTAGACGTCAAATACTGATATTTATTTGTCGTTTGTGGCAACCGAAATCCAACATCCGATAGACGTCATAGTGGTAACATCCACACAACGTCAAGCTGTAACATTATTAGACGTTGATATTTGGTTGCTTTTAGGTTGGACGTTGTACATTGGCGTCGACATGACGTTGGGTTCTGATGTCAACCCGATTTCCATTTCCTTACAAAATGCATCTTGTGCCTGCTGAGTGTTTAAGGCCATTTCTGTCATCACACAGTAAACATTCGTCATGTTCTCATCAATAACATGCATCTAAACAGTCTCTGGCTCAATGCGTAAAAAGATTTTGGACATCTTCTTTGGACACTTTTAATGCTTCCAAACAATTATAAATCGCCCGTGTCTTGAGGTAGTTCAGTATGATGTGATTTACCTTCTATGTGCGATTTGATTGAACAGAAATCACAGTACTGATTTTTCTAATCCCCATAGACAAAAAAAAATAAGTATAAGGGATTGTGCATTAAGGTTGAAGAAAAGTAGTGCAGTAAATGTATCGATACTGCATTAAAAAATATACTCAAGGGAAAGTAAAAGTACACATTTTTAAAACTACTTGGTAAATTACAATTTCTAAGAAAAGCTACTTAATAACAGTAGTTTGAGTATTTGTAGTTTGTTACTTTACACCACTGGGTACACAATTGTACATTTAAGAAATATGAGGTATACATTTTTGCTATTTAGGTATAAATATATACTTTTAAGGTACAAATGTGAACCTGGTAGCAGTGGTAGGTACAAAAGTGTATGTTTTAAAAAGGTACCACCCAAATAACCCTAGATATTTCTGAGAGTGTATGTAGCCAGTTTGGGTTATGTATTGCCTGAAGACATGTACCTTGTGAAGATGTACCTTATATAAGCACAGACTAAATATAGACTATGCCCAGACATCTAAATGGATTTCTTTTCTTATACTTTTCATGTTATTGCAGAGTTGCTGTTTAAATGCAATCCATAAGTCTTTACCTTGGAATATAAATGGTTCATGCCATATGTCAAAATTGAGCTGTAGAACCTTATTTATGTAATTTGGGTGGGTTTATTTTTACTAATAGTCATTATACAATATCAAACTTACTTTGCTCCGTAAAGGTTTTGTTTATGAGCAAATCAACACTATGAACACACACTAAAGGACAGACCAAAATCATCTTAGAGGCAAAGAGGAGTAATTTTAAGTCCATATTTAAACTCATGCCACAATCAAAAAGTAATATAGTAGTGTTTAAAAAATGAAAAGAATAAAAATGAGAGATCTGAAAGATGCAGCACTTATGAACACATCTCTATGGAAATGAAGTGTATTTTTAAATGCAGAGCTCATAAACATCTCACCCTTTTGAAAAAAGAGACTGTCAACGCAAAGATTTATATGTAATAAATGATATTAAGTGAGAAAATGTTACATTTTCTTGAGGCATTGCGTAATATATATCTGAAACATTTATTTTTCAGTGTTGATTTAACTGTGAAACAACTGATAACATTTTATATGAATGATTACAGTGATTTGATTTTATGCACATTTGTATTTAGGAGTAATAGGTGTCTTAATAATTTAGAATAAACTATTTAAATTAACATTCATGGATCTTGTTATTGTTTAGACATTTAGTAGTTTATTTTTCAGTGTGTATTAAACTGTGAAATAACTGCTAACATTTTATATGAAGAATTCCACCAGTAATTTGATTAATTGTCTGATTTTGCAGGAAATGTGTTTTTGAAACACGGCTCAGAACTACGAATCATTCCCAGAGATCGGGTTGGAGGAGGTCACCAGCCCAGGATGTGACTATCCAGTGGTTTTCTGTCACAGACGATGAACATACTTATGTATTTATTGTCCGGCCTTGAGGTCTCAGCTCTTAGCTGCTCTAAACAAGCAGTGCTGCAGCTCCAGATCAGTCAGAGGACCTCATAAATCTCACCAAGCTGCCACCACAAACACCCTTCCTGAAGACACACACTGGCAGAATATTGTTGATGTTTTGAGCACCAGAATTACTAGGTATTATGAGCTGTCAAAGAATGTTTAATAGGAATACAGTCATAATGCATTGCTTGTAAAAATGTGCATTATGACCTTTACCAGATAACAACAACATAATTGTCAAATGTCTTCTGCATGAATACAATAAATTGGATGTGCATTAAAGCCACTGCAACAATCTAATCAAAAAATAAGAATAATTCAGATAAAAAAATAGAATCAAATCCTAACATAAAAACTAAGAGAAAATGAAAACATACTTGAAGTGGTCTTAATGCACATTTTATAAATTCAGTTCAATGTCTTAAATAAAATGTCTGTTTTAATGTTTAAAAAAATACAATTCCCATTGTCCATTTTGAGATGAGACAATTTAATAGAAAGCAACGTATTTTGGCTTGAAGTTTTTGCATTCTTTGTTTTATGGTCTAGCAATTTTGCTTTAAGCTCCTGTAGTTATTCTGCAGTTATTGAATGATTCATTGGCTTTACTATTTTTTTAAAGGTGAGTGGTTGCAAACAATTGATATGAGCTGAATTAAAACAAACTAATCAAATTTAACAATGTTCAACTTCATTTGTTTAAATTCAGCCCATATCAATTGTTTGCTACCACTTACCTTACAAAAATTTAGAAAATCCAATGAATATTGTTTTTCAGTGCATTAACATTATTTCTATACCAAGTATGGTTACTTAATCTCTAAAAACATAACAAATTAAATTTTTTATAATGTACATACTTGATAAAATATGTACACACAAGAACCATTTCCATAGTTGTTAAAAATAGTGTTACATAAACCAATCTGACATCCAATTTCTCAAAAGTTGCTTTATGCCCACTCAAGTCAGCGGTTGTGCCTTTTCATTAAGGCTTAAAATCATGACTTACTGCAAGACCTGAATAGTGCATCAGGCTAATGAATAGCGGGCCTCTACCTTTGCTTTTTGCACCCTCCACTTTCCCTCCTTCCCTTACATTACAGAGAGGCAGAGGCGAAGGTGGAGGAGGAGTGTCTGACTATTCAGTGTCATAATGGATCTTTCATTTGTTTTAATAAAAGAGCAGGCATGCTGTGCCCTTTCCGTGCCACTCATTACTGAGGAAAGGGGAGAAGTGCATTATAAATACAGCAAGGCCTACATTATTCAAACGCAGACATGTTACTCTGGATCACATTTGAAAAGGCATCACTTGCCTCCAGCCTCATTTAGCAGGAAGTGATGCGGTTTGTTCATTAGCCGGGAAAGAGCTGTGCTTTTATAGAAACTAACAATTTCATTTATGTGAGGAATGTCAAATTGACTAGTCAAAAAAGTTACAAATACACTTACAGTACGAGTGTTCATGTCAAAAACATTAAAAAAAGCATTGAATATCAAACTACATGCCTGCATGTAAATTTGCTTGTTTTTGCTGCTTTTTCGTTTTTTTCACTTAATTTAATGCATGTAAACATAATCCATGTTTCAAAGCTTTAAATGAAGAAAACAAGCTTCAGAAGTCTCCTTTATAGCACAAAGACGTAGCAATTTGCATAAATTAAATTGTGTCCCATTTGTTAGAGGACTACCTAAGCAAGCGAATGACAGAACTCTTAAATATTTATGTTTTAGTTTGATGTTGATTGTGTTATTTGCAGAGGTTTAAACAGACCATTTCATAGTAAGGCAGTAGGATATTTGAAAGAAAAAAAAAGAGTATTGCTATATTTTGCTATAGAAATACACTTTCACCAGGGATCTGATTTGTGCATAGAAACCTTCCTAAAAGTGAGCGTACACTAGAAAGATTTATTACATTTTTAATAGTTATGGCTCATATGATGATTCAAAGTGGTTCAATTAAGGTGACACTATAATAACTGCACACTTTAAATAATTTAAGCATTAGCAAATAGTTATTTCATCATTTGTTAAGCATTTACACTGCATTATAGTTCACTACAGCTACAAATGCTGTATTCTTGACTTAAGCACATGTAGAATTAAATTTTTTATTTAGTTTATTTATTTATTTATTTATTTGGAACAAAAAAAAATCTTACACAAAAAACAATTCTATAAACAAAATACATTTTGACATGCATGGTTGACATGAAGCAGGATGAAGCACGCCTATTATTTTCCCCACCTCATCACACACATCATTCGTTTATTACTTTAACTTATTTCTTCTTTTACTTATCTTTTTTTTACATGAGACATATTTGATCCTTTTGGCATCTTTGACATATTTATTATATGTTTAACTCCATTTTTACATTTACGTTTTATAACACATACCCAAATAATACATAATATTGCAAACAGCCATTAATTGAAGTTTAATCATACCTTTCTCATTTGTTCTTTTCAATCTCTTCTATTATTAATTATATTTATTTAATGATGTATATTTATGCAACTTTTTAAATTGATTAATATCCTGCCATAAAGAATCTGTTCCAGACTGTTCCATAACTTCACACCACATATAGACATACACACATTTTTTAAAGTTGTCCTTGTTTTCAACCTCCTAAGATTTAGTTCTTCTCTCAGATTATATCCCCCTAGTATTTCTTCAATAACTTTTGTACGCATTTCAGAAGTAATTTATTCCTATGCTTTTAACATAAGTTTTGCTGTTTTAAATTTAACCAATTTATTGAACTTATCTTCAATTTAAAAAATAAAGGATTTCTATGCTCCAAATACCCCTCATTTAATCTAATATAATGTGCTTAATGATTGTATTATCGTATTTTGCTAACGACTAAGTTTTCATGAATTAAGCAATGCAATATTTACAAACCATTTGTATTTAAGAGAAATCGGTGGGTTTTTAAGATAATTTAGTAACTATTCAAATTAACATTTATGTATCTTATTATTCAGGCACATAGTTATTTCGTTGTATGTTATTAAATGCTTTAATAACAAAACTTCATGCAGTCATTTAAACTAATCTAAAGCAAGGACTATTTATGCTTTTTATATCCTTTATACATTGCAATTAAGACTGTATCAAATGAACAATAAATCCTTGCAATTGTACCTAAAAATAAAATTGCTGTACAGTTTAAACATTTCTAAATATCAGTCCCTAAATGCAATATAATTTGATAAAAACAACAATATAATAATTTAACAATATGGCAATATTCATTTTGTTGTTATTTAATGTTTTTTAAACTACAGTCATTTTATATTTAGATATGATTTTTAATTTAATGCAGTTTCATTTGTCATTTTTCATTTATTTTGAAAGTTATATTTTTATTTGTTATGAATCACTCTGTTTCTTTTCCTTTTAGGATATAACTGAGCCTTTAATTGCCATTTTTACGGGATTTCGAAAGCATAGACCCTACTTCAGATTAGGTCGAACTGCATAAAGTTGTGTTATTAAGGCATTGCTTACCATAGAAATTACCTATTACTATATGCCTGATAAATAAGGTGTATACACATATTAATTCAAATAGCGTATTAACCATTTACTTAATCGTTCTAAATAATCTTAAACAAGCTACTAAGGAACTGCTTTGTAATAATGCAATACATTTAGTAATGAATACTTAATCATTAAAGTATGAAAACACAATCATTAAGCACATCATCATTGCCGGCAGCTATAGCTCTCTGCAGCTCTCACATGGGCTCCACTGAAGCTAGGCAGGGCTGTGCTCGGTCAGTACCTGGATGGGAGACCACATGGGAAAGCTAGGTTGCTGCCGGAAGTGGTGTTAGTGAGGGTGCCCAAATCTGTGTGAGTCCTAATGCCCCAGTATAGTGACGGGGACTCTATACTGCTCTGTGAGCACCATCTTTCGGATGAGACGTTAAACTGAGGTCCTGACTTTTAGTGGTCATTAAAAATCCCAGGATGTCCTTTAAAAAAAAATAGGGGTTTCACCAAATTCTGGCCAGTCCTAACCTTCCCCATATCATAATTAGCTTCATCAGTCTGTCTTTTCTCCACCAATCTGCTGGTGTGTGGTGTGCGGTCTGGTGCAAAATGGCTGCCATCGCATCATTCAGGTGGATGCTGCACACTGGTAGTGGATGAGGAGATTCCCCCCCATGTGTAACGCGCTTTAAGTGCCCAGACAAGCGCTATATAAATGTAAGGAGTTATTTTTATAATTATTTTTATTTTATTATTATCATAGTTGTACTTATAAATCAATAACACACCGTATTTGTATTTATAAACTGCTTACTAATTTGTCAATGTAGAGTTAATGCTAAACAAATGATGAATTATTAGTTGCTATAATGCTTAATAAATAGTTTATAATGTGCAGTTTTTTAAAGTGTTACCCACACGCTAAACTATTTATAAGCATTGATGCAAATAAAATAAAGCTTATCTAAGAGTTTCACAGTATTCAGATAGAACCTGAGAATATTATAGCATATCATAATTTACATAGTCATATACATTATAGTCTTAATTGTATAACTGATCTTTGTATAAACTACAAACATAATTTATTTTACTTTTAATCTCTTCAAATGCTTGCTGTTTATGGGTCTGATAAATGATAAACTTTCACTATGGATAAACTTTGCAGTGATGAACTGTTGTACCTGATTAACTAATCTCCACTATTACATGATTATTGCTGATTTGTACATTGCCATATCAGTGCTTAAACGGTATACTGTTTAGCCCTATTTCATAGTAAGCTTCCTATTTTAGAGCTTAAAGTCTTGTGGTGAACAGATATGGCTCAGCTAAGCCTAAGGAATGGTTGTATGGTACTGGCGTCTTGTGTTTGTCTTGGCATTTTATGTGTCGGCGAAAACATGTTTCCTCTCCTGTTTCTATAGAAGCTCTTAATTCAGACCTTTCTGAGAGGTCGCAGAGAGATTGAACGCTCACAAAAAGACCATCCTTCTGAATTGCTGTTGACAAAATAAGTCATTTTTTCCCCTCCGTGGCTAAACGTTGTCCACATGTATTACAGATAAGCTACTGCCGCCTGTCAGTTCGGCTTCTCACTCAATGTATCTTTCAGATGAAATGATATGTGACGTGCATTTAGATTTGGCTTGTGCGTTCAAGCAGCAGATTCGTTTTCTTGAGTTCACAGAGGTAATTAATTTGCTATATTTCTTTCAGGCAAAGGAAGAAGTAGCTTTCAGGTGTACAGCAGCAAATTGGTTTGGCTTTTTGAAAAGATGGTTTAGTGCTGTTCGTTTTTTCAGTCACAAAAATGTATTATCTACAGCTCTCTTTTTTGTAATAACAAGGTTCAGGGAATATCAAAGATTATCAGAGTTTTCTGTCACTGGATGACACGTTTTAGACTTGATAAGAGTTTAACATCATAATTGACAGGTATTTCTTCTACATAAATTGTAGACTACAATAAAGACAGCACAAAACTCAAAACAAAGCCAAAAACAAAGCATAAAAAGGAAACCGTCTCATAGCCAAAAACTATAACAAAACATATTCATTTATTTACCTTCGGCCTAGTATTTTATTTATCAGGGGTTGCCACAGCAGAATGAAACGCCAACTTATCCAGCATATGTTTCATGCAGCGGATGCCCTTACAGCTGTGTCCCAGCACTAGGAAGCCAATTTAGTTTATTCAATTCACCTGTACAGCATGTCTTTGGACTTGTGAGGGGAAACGCTACTCGAACCCACACAAACACAGGGAGAAGAACATGGCAACTTCACACACAAATGCCAACTGACCCAGCCGGGACTTGAACCAGTGGCCTACTTGCTGCGAGTGCGAAACACTGAACCATCATAACAAAACAAAATAAATTATAAAAGCAGTCACAAAAGATAGATTATCTGCATCCAAAGGTCGCTGGTTCAAGTCGCAGCGTTTCTGTGTGGAGTTTGCATTTTCTCCCTGTTTGTGTGGGTTTCCTCACGTGCCCAGGTTTTCCCCACAGTCCAAAGACATGCTATATGTGAATTGAACAAACTAAAGTGTCCGAAGTATATATGAGTGTGTGTGTGTGTGTATGGGTGTTTCCCAGTAATGGGATGCAGCTGGAAAGGCATCTGCTGCATAAAACATATGCTGGAATAGTTGGTGGTTCAGTCCGCTGTTGTGACCTCTGAAATAGAGACTAAGCTAAAGGAAAATGAATGAATGTTTACATAAAGCATTGAAATAGTCAATGAAGTCATAGAACTGAAGGTACACTAAAATCAGCCACAGCTGAATCAAAGCAAAGTAAAACAAAACATAATTAAGCTCACAGCAAAACATGGTTTGAAGCAAAGTAAGAAAAAGATCAAAGCCAAAATAAAAACAAAATGTAAAAATAGAAACAAAATGTAAAAAAAAATAATAATAAACCAATCCAAAAACAGAACACAAAACAAACAAAAGCAAATGAACATTTGTTTGTTTTTTCTTT